GTGTGTGTGTGTGTGTGTGTGTGTGTGTGTGTGTGTGTGTGTGTGTGTGTGTGTGCGTGAGTGTATCTCTCTCTCTTGATCCCACTCGGCCGAATCATTCGTCCCTGACAGTCGATAGAAATTCCGGGCAAGTCACACAATATGTTTTCGTTGTGTGTGTGTGTGTGTGTGTGTGTGCGCGTGAGTGTATCTCTCTCTCTTGATCCCACTCGGCCGAATTATTCGTTCCTGACAGTCGATAAAAATTCCGGGCAAGTGACATAATTTGTTTTCGTTCGTTCTTCCTGTGTGTCTGTCTCTCGATCCCGCTCAGTCGAATTGTTCGTTCCTGACACTGCTGACAGTCGATCAAAATCCGAGCACTGCTGACAGTCAATAATCCGAGCAAGTTACACAAATATTTTTCGTTTCTGCTTGTCCTTTCAATTAAGCCAGATGCTTCTCTCAAATTCACGTTTCCGGGATTTCTACCATACACTTACCATTATTCCTCAACCTGTACAGGGGACCCCTGCAAGCACAGCTACCTCTCGCAATCGAGGGGCGGCATACTCTGCATCTGGAGTGTGTGCTTCGAGCAACCCCTCAAAAAAAACAAAATTCAGAAAGACATGCGGAATACCCCTCACAAAAAAAAATAAAAAATCTAACCAATTTTAACCAAGAGAAGGAGGAAAAAAAAAAAAAAAAAAAACACAACCCACCTTATGATGAACAGCTTCAACACCCCCTGCTACGCTGGACATGGCCAAGACTTCCATAACCTCCTCGCCCCCGGAATTGACGAAAAAGAGCATGTGTCCCGACGGCACCCCGTACACGTCAGATCTCGACAGTTTCTTCACGTAGTGCTTGCCCTCAAGATGGAACTCAATCCGTCCACGTCCTGCGCGATGCCACGTGGCAGATATCGTTAGACTCTAATGTTCTTTTTTTTTAATTACGTTTTTCAAGTTTTAGACGCTGCTGTCAGGATTTCAACCCATGATCTGACAATCAACACCCGCATGCATGCGCGTACCCTACTACCCAACGCGATGAGAGAGAGAGAGAGAGAGAGAGAGAGAGAGAGAGAGAGAGAGAGAGAGAGAGAGAGAGAGAGAGAGAGAGAGGAGAGAGAGAGAGAGAGAGAGAGAGAGAGAGAGAGAGAGAGAGAGAGAGAGAGAGAGAGAGAGAAAAAAAAAGAGAGAAAGAGAATGGTCCGGCAAGACAGCCGATGCACGAGAAGTTATGGAACGGATCAAGGATCAAGGAAGATTCACCCAGAAACACAACCTCCTTTCACGCAAATGCAGGAACCATAGACAATCGAACTCAAATCCCATAATTTCTTCAACAAGCAATCATCACACAACCTTACACCCAACCCCTCGACACGTTTAGTTCACCCACCCAGCCAGTGTCCACCAGATCCCAATTCCAACGCATCACCCCTAGACAAAACAACATAGACCTCAGACTTTCTGCGTTTAGATTTTCGTTTCTTTTTCCCATATGAATGAGAAAAGCACTGACACATAAGATATATCACAATCACGTACACATTTAAAAGCAAGAAACACCCAGTCTCAAGGCACGAACACATGACTGCCCCGCTGCAACCCATGAGTGCATCATGTCCGCCCTACTACCGATAACAACTTTTCTTCATCGTTATCATCATTATCATCGTCATCATCATCTTTGAACTGCTTAGTGTTGATTGAGCACATCACCGGTCTGCTCTCATTATACTCCCTCTTCCTTTATCTTTTGCACTTTCTCTTTCTTTTTACACGTCAGTGACCTCGTCGCGGTTGAGCTGACTAACATTTCACTCGATCGCTCTTGAATTACCAATTTGCCCCTCCGAGCACTTTCGGAAACTACCAATTTACCCCTCCGAGCACTTTCGGAATGCAATGCTGACCCGCGATCGAAGAGACCACATTTGACGACGGTCATTCTCAGGGAATTACAATAAGGAAGTATTACACCGCGATCGAAGAGACCACATTTGACGACGGTCATTCTCAGGGAATTACAATAAGGAAGTATTACACTGTTTTTTTTACACACACACACACACACACACACATACACACACAGAGAGAGAGAGAGAGAGAGAGAGAGAGAGAGAGAGAGAGAGAGAGAGAGAGAGAGAGAGAGAGAGAGAGCGTCGACCTCGGAGCACGAAGAAGACCATGTCGTAGTTGGTATACATGGGCAAGCTCATCGCGTTCGACTTGAGCGTGAGAACACCGATCCCCAACTCTCTGTGGCGATGAGTCGTCACATTCAGCCTCCACGTGGTCACAGACCCAGCGTCAGTCTCGACAACGACACGCGGCTTTCCAATGAATGGCTTAAATCCCCGTAGTATACATGTACTCCTCTCCGCCGTCTCCCGGCAGAGGTCATCCTGATCCCAGTGGCCAGATGAACTACCCCCACCTCTTCCGCCCCCTTCACGTTCACGGTGGACGATGTCGATGTCTCCTTGACTCGTTTCCTCTTTCCACCCCTTCCATCCTTCTCTTGCACCGAGGGCATCCTCAGGGAGGCCGGCAATTGCCGTTTCCTGCACACCGTCGAGATCGTATGCATGTACAGCTCGATCCCGACCAGCCTCGACAGGGAAGACGATGACATGGGCTACAAGACAGACTACGAGAGGCAACACTGTACACACCGTCGGCCATAGCCCGAAGCTCCGTCGTCCTGCGGGCTCCGTCGTCGCCATATCCACGACTGCAGTCGAAGTTGTCGAACGCCGCAATCTACTGAGCAAACAGATCAGACGTGTTCACTCAGAACCAGAGCTCTCAAAGTCTCAGCGTCCTTTCCAAGGCGTTCTCAGAAGAACATTTCTTGGATTGAATATGGCCGCACGGGTTGACCTGATTCCGTCACACAAAATCCAGTTGAGACTATATCCTCAAGCGATCTCCGTCATCTTCCTCTCGGCGGAAGACACCACACACGTGCTTGTTGTACTCTCAGTGACGGCCCGCGACAGGGTCATTCCTCTCTCTCCGTCACTCCCTCACTCCTCTCCTTCTCTCCTTCTCTCGCTCTCGAGTACTCTACACACGCTCCTCCACGCTCCAAATTGTGTAATGCGAGTAATATATAAGAACCCTTGCTCGGGCATACTCACAGAAGTGCGGGCAGACCAGGATGAACCTGACCACAGTCATGGTCAGGGCTGACCAAGATGAACCTGACCTACCACGCTTGGCCTTGGCCTGTGTCCGTTCGACCTGACCGAAAAACTGCTACGGTCAAAGGCGGTCAAAGCAGCCAGTTAGCAACGCATAGTGGCTGTTGACGTCAAGTTCGAGTTGGTCAACTCAACCCGATTCTCTGCTTCTGGCCGCTTTGATCGTCTTTTTTTTTCGTTCCTTTCTTCCCCTTTCGGGTTTTTTTTTTTTTTTTTTTTTTTAAGTAAGCTATATTCTTCTCTCATCTATCTCATCTTCTTGGTAGTATGCATCTGTCTCATCCTCGAGCTACCCGTAGTCTATGTATAGTACGGGGGGACACCGACCAAATCTGGAAGGCTGGAAGCCTGGAACTGGGGATAATTGATAGAAGGCGCCCACGCCAAAACCTTTTCGGTTTTGGGCGCCCAAAGTTTAGCCGTTTGGTACTACCGGCCCAATGACTTGCATGTGGGGTACTACAGGCCCACGCGTCTCTCCAAGGGCCCTACCGGATCATGAATCTGGCGCATAACAGCACCAGATTCATTTTGATGTAAAAGAGGCCGGCGGTGGTAACCCTGAAGTATAGAATGAGGCCCACGTTCGCGATTTTGAAAAAGAAGGGCCTTACCCGTTCATGAATATGGCACAGAAACAGCGCCAAATTCTTGAACCGGTGAAAACAAGCCCAGGGAGATGTGGCCATGGTGCGAAGGGGCCTTTCACCCAGGGGAAAGTTGTTTGGGCCGATAGTACCAAACGGTTGAACTTTGGGCGGCCAAAACCGAAAAGGTTTTGGCGTGGGCTCTTTCTACCAATTATCCCCTGGAACTGTCCCCTACCCAGAGGGACATGTTGATTCGTTTCTCATTGGCTGGCACCGGGTGGCCCGGGTGGGAGTAGGATAGTTGATTTCCCCCTCGTTGATTGGGGTTGATCGCCCCTCAATTTCCAACCATGAAGGGGTGTCAATTGCCCCCATGAGGAGTTATGTTGTTTAGGCTTTTGAGTCTTGATTGATTTCCTTGTTGGGGTGATCTAAGAAGATGCTTTTCGTTAGGATAATACTTCATGGGCAGGAGGTCAATCCTTCCCTTGCGTCGGGAAGTAATCAATGTCTCTGCTCTCTTCGGAGATAGAGGTTGAGGTACAATTACCTACAGACTGGATTGTATGTGCACTACGACATCTCCACACATCATTGGCTCCCGCCTTTTCGCAAAGGCGAGAGCCCTCCCGGCCATGTCATGCAGGAGTAAATAAAACAAAATCAGAGACAACTCCGGAACGACGCTAAGTATCCCATGAGCCACCGAGACAACCGCGTTCACGTCGTCCCGTCGCCGCTCTAACCGGGTGCGCCAGCTGTACATCCCGCGGTCCCCTATAACAGGATAGGTTCCCGCGGGGCATATGCTTTCTTCCCCTAAGGGGCTTTCACCACCCTTAGGGGCGTATCCCTACTGAGCTATTGACCCACATGCGAAAGTTGTTACCTACAGTCGCAGAGGTAGGTCAGCCGAGGGCGTTTGCTCGTCTCGCTGCAGTATAGGAATCGCTTGGTTAACGCCAAGTGGACCCATCGCCGTTCGTTCCTCAGGGCGCTGATCTCCTAAGTTCGGAACGTGAGTCGGTCGACTAGGACGGTCTCAACCAAGCGTGAAACCCTTGGATATAATCCTAGTCCCTTGACAATCTCTTGAAAACAATTCAACAAAAATACGTATACCTTACATCAAATTATCAGAGATCAGATCTTTTTGATTTGATGAGCAGGTTTCCCAATGTTATTCTTCTCTACCTATATGACTGAAGAGATATTTTTACTGTTATTCAAAGACGGGAAACTGTTAATTAACGAACAGACTGGGCGTGACTACTGAAACTTGTCATAAACAGCTTCTGCAAGTAAATACCACTGCTACCATGCAGATCAACAAGTAATCTGGTTCTTGACCGACGTTTGAACTCTCGGTTCGACCACACCTCCGCGATCATCTTCAATTTACTTCTAACATGCGTCTTTATGCATGTGATTACCCCTCAATGCATAAGCATGATAGTGCAATCATCGGGGTAATCCAGATATTATCCATCTGGTTGAACCTATCTACGAAAGATTTTTTTTTTTTTTTTTTTAATACCCTTGTATAGTCACTTTAACGTGACCCTACTAAAAGGACAGCCCACCACGACACCTGACTCATAAGATGCGTTTAGCCAGGATAAAGTTGTTGGCCTTCACAGACTTCAATCTCAATCTGGTCGAGTCGTGCAAGCTCCTCCTCGTCAAAAATCAAAGTGGTCATACGTCCGTCTCGCATAACTTGAACCTTTCGCGTACCATAGGGAGAAGCTATCCATGAGGCGAGCCTCCAAACTATGGCACGAAACGGTTGTCGCATCCTAAAGAAGTGATGACGTCAAAACGTTCAGAGCGAAAGATGCTAAATTTATTCATCCGTACCCGTCTCACATGATGAAGAAGACTGAACGGACCTTACTCATCATTAAGCCAAAACACAATATAAAAAAACATTCCTCTAACCTCAGAAATGCCTTTTATAACTGGACTCGCTTCATGAACCACGACAAGGTTCATGTGTCCATAATCTCTTGATGTATTAGGAGGCGCAAAATCATACCGCACAATATGTTTCCCTAGTTCAATCAAGAAAATAAAGCTCCGTGGTGGTTTCCTCACGCTCCCATCTCAAAACCGCAGCTCATCCTGTTCCAGGAAAATTTCATGTGGATTGTATACCAATCTTCCTTTCCGTATCATACCGGCACGTGATCGTTGTTGGAGCAGAAACCCTTATAAGGGTATCTGCTCGGGTTTTTCAATGTCGGACGTTGTCCGATGTTTTCGTTGAATTGAGGGACTTGATGAGACTGACGTCTGCCAAAGTCTATTCAGACCTAACCTACGACTAAGGAGCTGAAATATTATTGCCTAATCTCGAACGTCTGCGACCCACCAAAAGGACGGCGAGGGTCAGCGGTATGGTCAGTCACGTGTCATGTTCGGCACGGCCGCAGGGATGTGCGACCATTGACATACTAAATATGAATTTATTATACTTAAAATGATGTAGCCGCGCGATTCAGAGCTTATGGGGTTTAATAAGGAACGTCATCCGAGGGTTGGAATCACGACGGCGGCCAAAGGACCCAGCAGCCTGCCTACTGAGAGTTGGTAGTCGTTGCGGTAGGTGTAGACGGCCAACCAAAAGGGTCGGGCAAGGCAGGCTGGGCCTGCTGACTGTAGGTTGGGCCTACTGGGAGCTGCACCTCTACACATGGAAGAGGTGTAGAATTAGCTCCCATAATAGGAGCTAGCCCTGTAGGTTACGACGCCAGACTCTCGCCCAGCAGATATCGGGATCGAATCCGAATGCACCCTACTGGTGCTAGCTCTTTTTGGAGTTGCCGTGGGGCTATGGGCAATACGGCGCGATCGATTTCAACCGCGAGATCAACGAGATCTCGCGGTCAAAATCGATCGTACTGGCAGTAGCATAACCCCTGCGCAATGATGACTTCAAACGGAGCGCCACATGCCGCTAGCTGAAGTGACGTGGGAACTTGAAAGTCCTCAGATTTGCAGCAGAATGCCCATCGCGAACGGATAATTGTTTCAAGTAAATTTTTTTGTTTTTTATTTTTTATTTTTATTATATTTTATTTAAGATTTGTTTTAGATTTTTTTTAAATTCCCTCCCCCTCGAGGTGTTGAAGCCGTTCATTTCGACAAACGAACCGCAAAAAAAAAAAAAAACTACGAACTAAAACATCAGATGGCGCTGTGAGAAGAGGTTGGGGACTTACTGTCCCCAGAAGATCCAGCAAGCACCCGTTGAAAACGGGCAACCGTTTTCCTGAGGCAAGTATGTTTTGTTTTTTTTCGTTTTTATATTTTTTTTTTAGATTTTCTTCTTTAGATCTTTTAAATTTATTATTATTTTTGTTTTTCTTTTCTTTTCTTAGATCCTTCCCTTCTCGTTTTCATTGTGACAATATCCGTTCGTTTTTTACGAACGTGCCTTATAGGATGGGCAAAATTGAATGAATCTACTACTAGAATGCAAGACTACTACTACTACTGTTACTACTACTACTACTCGAGAGGGAGGAAAAGGGGCAGCCATCGACTTACCTGCGGTTGGTCCCTCAACGACTTGGAACGATAGGATGAGCAAAATCGAATGAATCTACCGCTGGAACATGGAGATATGCACTGCCACACCTTATTCCCCCCCCTTTCGTTTTTGTTTGGGTGATCATAGGCATCGTTGCTGGAGCAACGGCCGCCACTCCAGAGGCTGCATGAGACAAAAGTGTCTCTGCTTTTGAAGAAAAACAGTCTCTTTTAGATTGTGTGGGAGCACGATAACTCCCACCTCATTATGACACAATTTTTTATAACCGCGGCTCACATCGCACGTGCAGGAAAAGGGGGACTGAGGGAAGTTGGAGAGAGGAAGGAGGTTAGAGAAACAGGAGGATGGGAGGGGGAGGACCTACCTCTCCCAACCTGACAATTATCCTCCCCATTTTTCGGTGGAGGGCGGAGAAAGAAGGGAAAAAGGGAAAAAGAAAAAGCCACGACCACGAATGTGGTCGCGGCTATAATCAGATACAGGCCCAACTCGTCAGAATGTGACTCAGGCCAAAGGCTGGGGAGCTGAAGAGGGGCGGGGGTTCGTTGTTTTAGGAGCCGACCCTGTTTATCGACCCAGAGTGGACCGTTCTACGGAGGGGTATTTTGCCGATTCGGTGGAGACGGCCCAACTTCTGAGATCCGAGCTTTGTGCTCGAGCGAGGAGGAGTACCCCAGACCACTTCCTCGAGGAAGAGGCATGCAACATTTCA